ATCAAAGAGCACAGCCTTCAGTATGGATTACATCTCAGTGTCAAGAAAACAAAAATCCTCACCACTGGACATTCTTATCAACATAGAAAAGATTGAAGTTGTCAAGGACTTCATTCTTCTTGGATTGTACATGTTACATACTTATATATATGGAGTCATGTTTGAATTCAGATATAATTTTATAGCCTTTGATTTTTATTATGAATAGTTTAAAAGAGAATTTATAGAGGGTAATGTAATGAATAGCTCAGAGATTATTGTCAAATAGTAACATTTTTGCTGTACTGTATTTGGTGGTGGTGGTTGAGTGCTATTGAGTCTTTTCTAACTCATAATGACCCTGTATAGGGTTTCCTTGGAGTAGTTGGTGGGTTTGAACTGCTGACCTTGAGATTAACAGTCCAGTGCTCAAAGGCAATTAAAAAACAATTTCCATAACCAGCCAACTGGAAGGCACTAAACAACAATTTCTATTCATGATTTTATAATTTTCAGCACAAATTTTATAAATTTCAGTACAATATTTTTGAATGCTTAAAAATTGGGGTAAATTATATCATATGGTATACTGTATAAATCCTCTGCAATGTTATTTTTGCTTTAACATGTTTTAGAGATTTTTCTTTACTAAGATACGTTGTTGTGTGCCGTTTCAACTTACAATGATGCTCATAATGGCTGGTGTGTTTGAACCATCAACATTTTGGTTAGCAGTATAGTGCTTAAACTACAACACAACAACAGGACTCCTTAAGACATGTGTTGTTGTTAAGTTGGTAAGTGCCGTTGAGTTGGTTCTGACCCATAGTGACCCTGTATAGAGTTTCCAAGGAGCTGCTAGTGAGCTTGAACTACCAACCTTGCAGTTCAGACAACTTTGCAATCTGGCTCGTTAACCCACAGCACCACACCAGGACTCCTCCTTTAAGACATGTAGCTTTGGTTAATTATGTACTTTAATTGCTGTATAATAGTCTGTCCTGTGATGGCTGTTATTTATTTATAGTCTCCAATTGATAAGACATTTGTAATTTCCAGTGTTAAACTTTGTGAACCACTGTTGTGATGGCATTCTCATACATGTTTCCTTGTTCACATGTGCCATTAGGGTGGTGGGCTTGAACTGCTGACCTTGTGGTTCATAGTCCATTGCTTATTCTACAGTGTCACGCCAGGATTGGTTGTTGTTGTTACATGCCTTCGAGTCGGTTCTGACTCACAGTGACCCATATAGGGTTTCTGAGAAGCACCTGGTAAGTTTGAGCCACCAACCTTGTATTTCAAACCGACTTTACAATCCTCTCATGCCACACCAGGACTCCAGGGTGGTATATAGTGGTGGTGGTGGTTGTGTGTCACTGTATAGAGTTGACCCTGTATAGGGTTTCCAAGGCTGTAAATCTTTCTGGGAGCAGAAAGCCTCCTCTTTCTCCCACAGAGAGACTGGTAGATTCAAACTGCTTATCTTGCAGTTAGCAACCCAGCTCGTACTCCACAACATTACCAGTGCTCCTTAGGGTGGTATATGTTATTGTTGTTGCTAAATGCCATTGACGCGATCCCAACCCATAACAAACCTGTCTAGGGTTTCTAAGGAGTGGCTGGTGAGCTTGAACCACTGACCTTGCAGTACAAACCGACCTTGCAGTCCAGCACATCTTATTATAATACCTATTTCCTTGGTTAGTAGTGAAGTTAAGCATTGAAATTCACTTCCCATTGAGATTTCTTCTACATTGGTCCTTTTATTTTGTAAAAAATTATTTATATTTTTCTTATAGATTTGTAGGAATCTATTCAGTTGCATGTATTTCAGATACCTTTTTCTAGTTCATGCCTTACCTTTTCACTTTGTTATCATACAGAAAACTTAATATGGTGTCTGTTTTTACTATGGTTATATTTGTAACATTTTCCTCTGTATCTTTGTCATCTTGTTTAAGAAATTCCTTATCCCAGTAACAGAAAAATATTCTATTTTTGACCTAAAACTTTTAAGCTTTGCTTTTCACCCGTAGGTTTTATATCCACCTATGTTTGTTTGTTTAATGATCTGAGATAGAGTCTTACTATAATTTTTCCTCAGAGAAAAATAATAATTCTGGCATCTGTAATTGAAATGGCAATTCTTCCCTGATTTTGTAATGCTGCCTCTGAATAGCATTGTATTTGCGTTTTTTTTTTCAGCTGAAGCATTTCAGAAATAAATGATTTATTTTACATTAAACTTAATGGTATTTGATATGATAAATCTCTTTATAAGGGATTTCTCATTTCAATTAAGTTTATACTGTTAATATATAGTTTAAAATATACCACTGTGATTTTTTAAATACTAATTTTGATTTTCTGTTTCCTTTATAGGAAATTCAGGAAGTGAAAACTCCAGAAGAGCTGGAGATCTTTATGCTTAAACATGGAGAAAATATTATTGATACTTTAGGAGCAGAAGTAGATAGACTTGAGAAAGAACTGAAGGTAAAGTGTATTAAAGTGTCAGCATTTTTAAAGTACTTATCCTATCAGACATATACTGTGATTTTTCTCATTAATTTTGGTCTAGAGATGTCAGTAACATTTTTATAATTCACAAAACAATTGGCTTAAGGAAGTTTGGTAGTTTGCTAAGAAAAGTTCAGTTCGTTCATTTTTCCTGCATTATTTAGTTCCAAATTCTATATTTTAAACCACTGCTGTAAGTATTGCCTGCTTACTTTCTAAAGTAATCAAGATCTTTTTTTTAAAGAAGTTTTTTTTTGTTTTATTTTAACTTGTGAATTGAGTGAAGGATTACAGAGCAGATCATCGTTTTACATTCAGTAAATAATATACTTGGCTCCATTATATCGTTGCAATCTTTTCCATGCACCAACATTAATGGAATTTGCATTTATTCACTTTAACTACTGCATTCCTCCCTGTTCTCCCTCCACCCACATCTTTGCTCTGCAACCTCCCTTTGGTTGTACATTGTCTGCCCCCTCACCCATGTCAACGTGTGTCTTCCCTCTAATGCATATATCATTTCCTCCCTCCCCCACCCCAAACCATCATAGATTGTTGTTTTTTAATCAAGAAAACCGTCCTCTCAAAGAAACCACTCAGGGATATATAATGATTTAAACAACCAAAAGGCACATTCAGGAAGCCAGCCTACTGGCCACCAGCACACAGCCTTTCTCTTTCCATGAGTTGAGAGTCCTCAACTGCCCTGTCTCTCCATGCCATCATCTTTGCCTCCATCTCTGGTGTCGCTGCTTCTCTGGTTAAGGTCCCATGTTCAGCTCATGCTCTTCTCCCCTGATGGTCCTAGGGTGCTCTGTTCCTGGAATGCAAAATTAACTACTCTCCACTTTTTGTTACATAACCTCTCCCTTTACAGTTGTGATAATCACAATTAGGTATGATAACAATTACTCACTATTGAATCACTGAATCCTATCCCCATCTCCTTTACACCAGACCCATCTAGATAAGAAGAAAACTATTCAGTGGGAATTCTACCTTCCCCCACACTCTGAAGCTAAACTCTCTCTTGAAACCTTGTAAGCCAGTCACTTCATGTCTTTATAGCCCTCTCCATTTTAGGCAGCCAATGTCTAAGTTGCCTGTCCCTATCAACCCTATGTACAAAGGAGACATGTTTGGTCCTTGATGTGAAGGACTCCTTCCCTTGCAGTTGGTATTTTGAGCTACTACATCCATAAGTATAGGTTAAGTTCATCAAATTGTAGCAATTTACACTTGCTTCCTGTATCAGATTTTGTTGTCTTCCTTTAGTCATGTTCTGATCATCAGCCATCGAAGCTAGGTCAAATGGGTACTATATGCAAGTTTGAGCTTTCTTGTGCATCTCCCCTAACTTCATATCAGCTGGATGCTTCGCTCTCAGCTCTAGCGCTCTGTGGCTATGTCCTTGTCCATGGGCTCAGGAGTCCCCAGGTCTTACCACACTTTGGAGCAACCAGCCCTTCCTCTTCTCTCTCTCATCTCAAGGTTGGCGGGAGTCTATGGAATGTGGTTAAAGAAGTATTTTGAAAGTTTGTAGAGAAAGTTTTTAGTGACATTTTAGACTCTGATCAAAAGGTAAGAAAAATAGAATGAGACTTTAAATATGCACATATCTTACTTTTAATGCATCTGTTACTATTTTCTCTTTTCTGTTTTGTTTTTGTACTTTACAGAGCATTGTAGCTTATTGGTTATTTTATCAAAGATTATTTGCTCAGAATACTTTAAAAATGTATCTGTTTTCAAATTGTCATTTATTGGTATTTGAGTCCTATTTTCCTGAATTGAGTAAAAACTGGTAAATGATCTTTTGCATGTTTATCTCATTCAAAGCAATGCATTTTCTTCACTTGATGTTAAAATTTTTTATATTTGTTAGAAAGTAAATGGGAAAAACAAAAAAAAATATTGAAGAAAAATATTTCTATCTTTGCTTAATGATCTGTTTGACTATAGATATTTAACCATACACAAGTCCTTCCAGTAAGATGAGTTTATAAATGTTGGTATTGTTCACAGGCTTTAGCAGACTGTGATTATAAAAACTTCTTGATGAGCAGTTCTCACATGTTTTGGACTCAGGACATTTTGCATTCTTAAAAATTGGGACCCAGAATGGACTTTATTTATTGTAGTTATATTGATTGATATGTGTTGTTAGGTGCCATCAAGGCAGCACTGACTCATAGCAACCCCATGCACAACAGAACAAAACACTGCCCAGTCCTGCTCCAACCTCACAGTCATTGCTATGCTTGAGCCAATTGCTGCTGCCACTGTGCCAATCCATCTTGTTGGGGGTCTTCCTCTTTTTTTACTGACCCTCTGCTTTGTAAAGGGTGATGTCTTTCTCCAGGGACTGGTTCCTCCTGATGATATGTCTGAAGTATGAAAGACGAAGTCTGGCCATCCTGGCTTCCAAGGAGCATTCTGGTTGTACTTCTTCCAACACAGCTTTGTTTATTCTTTTGACAGTCCATGATACTTTTAATATTCTACTCCAATACCATAACTTAAGGCATCAATTCTACAGTCTTCCTTATTCATTATTCAGCTTTCACATACCTATGAAGCTATTGAAAAGACTATGGCTTTGGTCAGGTGCATCTTAGTACTCAAATTTTGCTCTTGAACACACTTTAAAGAGGTCTTATGTAGCACATGAACCTAATGCAATACATAGTTTGATTTCTTTTTTTAAGTTTTTATTGTGAATTATGTGATAGTTTACATGGGAGAACATTATCTTTACATTCATCCTACCGTATTTTGTTTCATTGCAATGATTACAGTCCCCTGCATGCATCATCAAACAACCAAAGGTTACATCCCGTGCGCCCGCCCCCCCCAGCTGCCAGCACACAGCCTTTCTCCCTCCCTGAGTCTAGAGTCCCCAGCTGCTCCTTCTCTCCACGTCATTAGCTCTGCCTCCATCCCTGGTATCACTGCTCCTCTGGATAGGGTCCTACACTTCACTTTTCTCCCTTGATGGTTCTAGGGGTCTCCCTTCCTGGACTGCAAAATCAGCCACTCCCCTCCTTTTGTTACAAAACATTTACATTTACCTTTCCAGCAGCACTCACTGCCAGACCTGATAGCAATCATTCCCTGTTGAACCACAAGAGTCTTATCCCCATCACCTTTTATCAGCCCCATCCAGACAGGTTGGAAACAACTCAGTGGAGATTCTACTTTTCCTCATGCACTCTTGAACTAGATTCCCTATTGAAAGTTTGTAAGCCAGTCACTTCTTGCCTTTATAGGCCCCCCTCTCCCCCATTTTGGGTAGCCAGTGTCTAAGTTGACTATCTTTGTTGACCCTGTGTACCAAGGGGATGGGAATGATCCTCACTGTCAAGGTTTGTTCGCTCTTTTGCCATATTGCATCTACAAGCGTAGGTCAAGTTCATCTAATTGTAGTGAATTACTCTTTTTTTTCCTCTTCTTTTATCCTCTAGTTGTATTCTGATCATCCAGCCATTAAAGCCAGATCAAGTGGGGGTACTGTCTGCAAGTGTGGGTGTTCTTGTGCATCTCCCCTCACTTCATATCAGCTGGCCGCTTCACACTCTTCTCTAGCCCTCTGGAGCCACGTCCCTGCCCCTGGGCCCTGGAGTCCCAGATCTCGCCATACTGCTGGCCAGCTGGGTCTCAATCCAGGTTAACAGGAGTCTATTGAATTGGTCAGACTAAGCTCACAACTTCATTGCTCTTTTCCCCCCACTTCCTCTTATCGGTGACCAACGTGGTCAGCAGCAAGACCACATGCCTGCTCCTGTACTCACCTTGAGTTTTAGTCTTGGAAGGGGGTTTGCCTTAAGGGGACCTAACCACTTGCCTTGATGGCTCCCGGGGGAACAACTTGCTTGTTCTTGTAGTAGTCAATCAGACTGCTGTTATTGTTTTTTGATATGTAGTTTAATTTCTTAACTGCTGCTTCCATGAATATTGATAGTGGATCCAAGAAAAATGAAGTCTTTGACAATTTCAGTCTTTTCTCCATTTATTATGATGTTATTTTATTGGTTCCGTGATGAGGATTTTTGTTTTCTTTGCATTGAGATGCAAGTTATACCAAAGGTTGTGGTCTTTGATCTTCATCTATAAGTATTTTAATTCCTCTTCGCTTTCAGCAAGCAAGGTTGTATCATCTGTATATCGCAGGTTGTTAATGAGTCTTCCTCCAATCCGGATGCCACATTCTTCTTCATATAATCCAGTTTGTTGGATTATGTACTACTCAACATATAGATTGAAAAAGTATGGTGAAAGAATACAACCTTCTTGCACACCTTTTGTGATTTTTAAACCATTCAGTGTTCCCATGTTCTGTTCGAAAAGCTGCCTCTTACTCTATGTACAGGTTCCTCATGAGCACAATTAAGTGTTCTGGAATACTCATACTTTGCAATGTTGTTCATAGCTTGTCATGATCCATACAATCAAAAGCCTTTGCATAGTTAATAAAGCACAGGTAAACATCTTACTGGTATTCTTTGCTTTCAACAAGATCCATCTGACGTCACCAGTGATATCCCTCATTCTACATCCTTTTCTAAATCCTGCCTGAACCTCTGACAGTTTTCTGTCAGCTACTGTTGCAGTAATTTTTGTATTGTCTTTAGCAAAATTTTACTCGTACAAAATTATAAATTACCATAATTTATAACAAGTTTTGAAATATATAGTAATTAAAAAAAAAATGTAATGAATCTATACATATTAAGGAGTCCTGGTTTAAACCACAAGGTTGTCAGTTCAAACTCACCAGCCACTCTCGGAAAGCCTATGTTGTTGTTGTTAAGTGCCGTCGAGTCGGTTCCGACCCATAGCGACCCTGTACAGGGTTTCCGAGGGTGTAAATCTTTACGGGAGTAGAAAGCCTCATCTTTCTCCCGCGGAGCGGCTGGTAGTTAAGGTTCACAGCCCGAACTGCTGACCTTAAGGTTCACAGCCCGATTCGTAAC